GTCAGTTAACCCAAATACACAATAAGAACCAATGGCTTTGTGGACCCCGGAAGGTTTGCAGAAATCAATTAAAGCATGTCGAGAGAGAAGATTCCAGCGCGAAGCGGCGTAAGTATTTGGAATTCCGCTCTTCTCCCTTCAAAGGTATTTGATTTCTAGCGCAGTTGGTGAAAACAATAAAGCACAAAATTATACGATGTCATTTAAGCCTTCCCTTACAAATCAATATTTAATTGGACCACGAGGAAACCAAAACCAGTTGTTCTTACTTCTTCAGGAAACGCAAAAGAAACGAGAATGTTGCCAAAAATAATACGAATGGCGTACAACAAACTAATTGCAGAAATCAAGATACGTGCAAGCTCCCCACAATGTAATGAAATGTTTTTTGTTCTCATTAGAATCTCAGGGAGGTATGCTTTTAGAGAATGACGTATTTTAGACTCCGCAGCATCAAACACAGTTTTCATTATTTTATGAACCATACTTGGCGACTGGATCCAGCATCAGGAGATGGGGAAGGTGAGTTATCATGCGAAATGTACTGGTGCAAAAGGAAAGAAAGACGTTACATGACCGAAATCTGTAATTCAGGTTATATATCCAAAATCTCACAGACTATTCGCCTGCAACCTTGAAACGATTTATTAGAAACCTAGAGAGCGCATCAAACCTCTCAGTGTTATTTTGAAATGTTACGTCCTAATTTATACCGACTTCTGTAGTGACATTTGTAGAGTAAGAATGCCTGTTTGTAACCATCTGGGATGGTGGGTTTTATAATGAAGACTTCTCTTATTTTTTTATTTTTCAATTTTGACCTGATTCACACCATTTTAACCTGAACTAATTACTGCACATGTGGCTTACAGTATGTGCACTGAGCGTGACTGAAGTTGATTTTGCCTCATTTTGAAGCCGATACAAAATACACAACTGTGTTTACAGAGAGAGGTCGTGCCCAGAAACTCACATTCGAAACTCACAAATTTTCTCTATCGCAGTTTTCAACCATAGGTACACATATTGAGAACTTGTGTATTGCTGGTAGCATGGAAACGAAAGCTTTTTCGCGGCCACAAACACTTGACGAATTTTGTTCTCAACTTCGCTCATGGGGCTTCTCGTGCAGTGCCTTTGAGGAGCGCGTGAGTGAAGCGGGGGGCAGGTACAGGAATGGGGGCGGGGGCAAAGGCGAGGGCGAGGGCGAGGGCGAGGGCGAGGGCGAGGGCGAGGGCGAGGGCGAGGGCGAGGGGCGAGGGCGTAGGCGAGGGCGAGGGCGAGGGCGAGGGCGAGGGAACGAGGGCGAGGGGAGGGGGAGGGCGAGGGGCGAGGGCGAGGGCGAGGGGCGAGGAGCGAGGGCGAGGCGAGGGCGAGGGCGAGGGCGAGGGCGAGGGCGAGAGGCGAGGGCGAGGCGAGGCGGAGGGGAGGGCGAGGGCGAGGGCGAGGGCGAGGGCGAGGGCGAAGGGCGAGGCGAGGGCGAGGGCGAGGCGAGGGCGAGGGCGAGGGCGAGGGGAGGGCAGGGCGGGGCGAGGAGGGCGAGGGCGAGGGTGGAGGGCGAGGGCGGTGGCGGGACGGCGGGGGCAAGGGCGAGGCGAGGCGAGGACGAATGCAGGGGAGGGCGAGGGGAGGCAGCGGACGGGCTGGGGCGGGTACAGGGACGGGGATTTGGGCTGGGCGTGGGCAGAGCTGCGTAAGGTTGCCATCTCGGGTATACGCGCAGGAACACGCGCGTCACCTGGCCGTCAGCCAAAGCCTCGGGGAACGAACGTCATAGGCGCTCAACAATAACTTCTCATTTAACAGCAACAACATTAAGAACAGAAATATCAACATCGCGTGTTTGGAAACAAGTCGTAGGTTGCGCTTAATATTATTGTTATATTAAATATAACGAGTCGAAATCAGAAGTTTTATTTTGTCCATATTTGTCACACATATAATATGTGTAGACACACACGGCCACATGGAATACATTCATACGTAGGCAATGTTTTGATGTCATAAAGACTGTGGACTTTAGAAGACGGGCAAAAATCAAGAACTATAAAGAAAATATACGTTCTGAGATGTATGTATGTATGTATGTATGTATATATATATATATATATATATATATATATATATATATATATATATATGTATGTACTTGGCGCGAGAGCCCGGTAACGGGATCAGGCTTACCGGCGATATCCCTGCCTCGCGGCCATGGGTTAATGGGGTACGTGTGGTTAGTATTCAGACGTCCCCAAACCTTATTCCGGTCTTCTCGTCCTGAGAAGTGAATTTTCTCATCGTCACTCAGCAACATATACTGGGACATTGCAAGGAAAACGCTCACTATATTCTTGGCTCGACCGGGAATCAAACCCGGTAGAAAGCGAGCATGGTGGCCAAGAGATAGCCACGAGTAACATTCTGGGATGAGAGCGCTCAGTACTAATAAAAAGCTCAATAGAACATTTCAGTGGAAGTGACGTAATCTGTAGAGAATTTGATGAAAGAACAGCAGTGTCATATACACTATTGACAGTAAATTTGATTGAGGTCAGTACTACGAAAAATTAAACGAACTAGATTATTTGAAAGACAGAATAGTGAATTGTATATAGGCAATTGGACCTAAAGGAGGAACTTCTGACATTGGAAAAGTGAAGAAAACAAATAGAGAAATTGTGATCACAATTCTGAAATTAATTAAATTTTTGTATTGTTATTTTCAGTTTTATTATTATTAAAATTATTATTAATAGTAATAGTAATATTAATATTAATAATAATAATAATAATAATATTATAATAATAATAATATAATAATAATATAATAATAATAATAATATAATAATAATAATAATAATAATAATAATAATAATAATAATGCCATTGATATAAATCTTTAAAAGTTACATATTTACTTTCAGGCATTAGGAGTGGTGGTGTAGTGCGATACATTAATGATTTGTTTCAGACTTTTGCTTTCCTCTGTAAATGTTTACCTTCGAAACCATATATCAATTAAATTTAACAAATATAGCAATCAACTCGTATTAAAAACAAAAACAAGAACAATACAATATTGCCATCGGTTATTATTCCCATAAATTTTTGTTCTAAAAACATCCACACATTCGAAATAAAAGAATGAACCCATTAGCAAATATTTATTAAAAATACTTCACACATTGCAGGAAAGTTACTTCAATAGTATTACTAACACCATCAAAACAAAATAGTAATATTATATTTAATATAATAAATAGTATATATTAAAAATTACAACTTTAATTATAAAATTGTCACATGGACGGGCTCGCAGAATGGAGGGCTTCACAACTACCTCGGCTTAAAGTGTGATGGATTGTAGTAACATTGTGCATTACATGCGACGTTGTAACATTGTGCGACACATTGCGCTCTAAAGCAAACAACTAGCTCAAAAACACAAGGCAATGTCATGGTCTCCTGTCATAATAAATACTTTGATCTGCAAATTGATACCCTGACAGCATTTCTTTGCACGTGGTACTCACTGAAGTGAAGAAAAAATATAAAAACGTAAATAAATAAGAAAGAAAAAAGAAATAATTCGGCAGAAAACACTTTGCCCTAAAAACCCATTTCTGAGGATCATAATTCGCCACTACTGTTGCTACAACAGCACGCATTTCTCACATTCTTTGTGACTTTTGCAAGTTTCAATAATATAATGTGCAACGAAAATAACTACTCGCCAATTTTTAATTGTCTTTTGTTCTATTTGAGGAAAACTTTTAATAAAACCATTTGATGTCATTTTTGAGAACATTTTGAAAATGATAAATCTTCATGAAAAGTACTCCAAAAAATAAAAATACTATTTTCCAATTCGCAGAACCTCGAGTTCAGCAAGATCATCCACAACATTCCGGTACTAGCGTAGGTCAGAGCCACAGACAAACGAGGCAGACGAACAGAAAGACAGAAGGATAGACGGACTTTTGACACAAACAAATTCTTCGATATCCATATACCACAAAACCCGAATTTTGCCTACAAAACGTATTAGAGGAAGTATACATGATTTGCAACATTAAGGAACAAGATTTACTACTTTCTTGATACCAGGGCCCTGCTGGGTGTCGAAATTTCCGCTGCAACAATATCTTACTTGCTGCTTACTACGTAAGCGCGAAGCAGACGAGAAAGTATACACATGTATTGAAATGGAGGCTTTGAAGAATAAAAGCGCTTAAAATAAGAACAATAAATATACTGACTAAAAGTAAATAAGTAAATTATGAAGATATACTCGAAAATATGTGATTTCCATACATTGGTACAATAACTGATATTTACGATACTACATTAATCAACTGAGGACCGAGTCTGCCATTTTTAGCTTGTAAGCCTCTAGGTCCTCAAGCCATTCCTGCCCCATGCAGTGATCCGCGGCACTAACACAAATGAGTCATGACCATCAGCAAAACAGACAAGGTGCGAATGGTGGTCTGTTTCGATGATGGACTTGATTTATTAATGTACGAATCAACAAACTTAACATTACAATTGCTAAGAGATTTCCTGTCATTTTCACATTCCCTACAGGAGAAGGTGAATCTGCTGATCCTTCTCCAGGATCTCTTTGCAGAAGCATATCCTAAGGGTGCGTGGTGTACTTACACCGACTTACTCTAACATGCACTACATTACCACACATGCCGGGAGACCGGTCGGAAAGCTTAGAGCTCGTCGCGGCTAGGGTGGTGCCCTGCTGGTGGAAATTGTCCGTTCGGGGAAAACCCCGCTAGCCGAAGGTAGCGCAACTCAGCATCTAGCGGGGGAAGTTACCGCCACCTCCCGGAGGTGACTTGCACTACACTTACGGGAACAAAGCTGACCATAGCTGTTGACGCGGCCGGAACCACTAATAAATCACTAGGCAGAACCTGCTCCGCGAGCAAGCGTGCTTTGCGTTACCGACCGTAGGCTGCGTGGAAGTCAAGGGAGAGGAAGCGACTCACTGCAGTTGGCCTCGTCGCTGCCGTCGGCGCAGTCGCGGCGGCCGTCGCAGTTGCGGTGCTGCGGGACGCACTCGCCCCCGGCGGCGCACGCGAACATCCCGCGCCCGCCGCACGCCGCCTCCGCCGCTGCCGCTGCCGACAACACAATTTGTTTATTAATTTTTATCTATCTATCTACTTGCTATTTGCTTACTTGCATGCCATTTGCTTACTTGCATGCCATTTGCTTACTTGCATGCCATTTGCTTACTTGCATGCCATTTGTTTACTTGCATGCCATTTGCTTACTTGCTATTTGCTTACTTGCTATTTGCTTACTTGCTATTTGCTTACTTGCTATTTGCTTACTTGCTATTTACTTACTTGCTATTTACTTACTTGCTATTTACTTACTTGCTATTTACTTGCTATTTACTTACTTGCTATTTACTTATTTATTTACCTATTTATTTATTTGTTTATTACTGATATGGGTTCGCTTGGAATTGTCTTTGACACGAAGCTCGAATATACACAGCATAAGGGCGGATCCTGCCGATCATTTCAGTGGAGCATCATAAATTTTTGTTAAACAATAAATATATTTGCTATTTTATTGTATATTATTTTTGTAGTGAATATATGACTTTATCAATACATTTTAGTCATTTCAACAATTTTTCTTTTGCTTCTTATTTTTGTTTTACCAGCACTTTTTCTATTTTAATTTTTTTCTCAAGACATTTAAGGAGGTGAAATGATCTTGAGGTACCTCCGCCCCTTGATCCGCCAATGATAACTCACCTGCATCCAGAGGATCGTGGTTACGAGGGAAATATGTAAAAAGTTTCGTGATGTTACCGTTCTCTTAGGAGAAAATTATGAAAGGGATTTATGAAAGGGGATTATGAAAAGACAAAACCGATTTGAGTTAACATGTACTTAAGAAATAAGCATATCTGAATCTTTAAAATTAAGAAAAAATAAATTCTTGTACGAACTTTGGGCATTGGCTGGTTCCAATTATTGCCGATTGATCTTTACAACTCTTGTAACGCCTATAAATAACTCTTGTAAGGAAGTAAATCGTTATTTTATTTATTTCGTTTTTTGATTTACTTATGTAATACTATATTGATGCGTTAGTATTTATTTATAGAATATTCTATTGTCTTGGAGAAAATATTTATTTGATTTTAAATTATTTTAATTTTTCTAACATCAAGTGACGATTTGTCCGTACTCACTGCCTTGCGCAATTCGTCACGAAGCTTTTCGTCAAATTCGTTCAAAAAATCAAGTTGTATTACTTAGGTACTTGTAAAACTCTGGACCCAACGGCGCGTGAGTTATCATTTGTGCTTACGACAACATGCATCTTAGCAGTGCCTTTGTACCTTCCGTGTACTTTCTCTACCAAGAGAAGAAAATGACACTTCACTTTGCAGAATTCCCTTCCGCTTTAAAAGTATACTAGTGGCCTAAATCTACAAAAATGCTGCTGAAGAAGATCACACAAAATTATTTTCTAAAAGTAGCACGCACACAACTCAAGAACAAGTAAAATACTCTCGCATAACACTGGAATAAATGAAATATTTTAACAGACAGATGTTATGAAAACTACAATATTATAGTTTATTGTATTTATATAGTACAGAAGATTTTTACACGCCAAGGATATTGTAAAATATACCCATGCTACTTCCCCAATCAAGAGTATATGGAGAGAAATTGAAACCTTTTTTCCATAACGCAACACCTGAATAGTAAATATTTAATGGCGGGAGGCCTCTTTCTTGGAACCTTGGTGTCACATGACGTCAACTATGTTTTAAGCAGTGACGTGCTGTTAATGAGCATTCATTATGTAATGTATTACAATAGGAGTAACTCAATATATTTGCATTTTTCAGTTAAAATTGAAACTATATTAATAGGGTTATAGGGTAATATACACCCTAACACGGTATATTACCGTATATTGTAGATAGCCGAGACAATACACAAAAAATAAATAATAATTGGAAAACTACGTCATGGATTGTCTGAAAACCAAAGGATATTTCAATAATAAAAGATTAACTGTATTTTAATTGAAATGGCAAAATAATGTGTCATATTTTAGCAAGGCAACCAAAATCAACGTATTTGGACGCTGTCACATGGTCACTCTCCTCAGAGAACGTGAGCTGCGGCGGAGGGCGATCTTCGCATAACGCTCCACCCTCGCTCATCACACAGGTCGCCTTTTTCTATATTAAATTCCCGATAAAACTAGCGGCGCTACAACAGCACTCATTTTCTCCCATTATTTGTAACTGTCACGCTATTCTCTAAAGGCGGCTCCACACATGCGGCATTCAGCGAATCCCGAGGAACCGTCGCCGAATCCCGAGTAGGGTGGACGGGTTGCTAGCTATTCGCCGAGCACCGAACATTTGGTATTCGCCCTAACCACCGCGTGTTGGTCTTTTGAACACATGAAAGGGGAGCGAACATTTGCCGAACACATCAGCTGGTCGGGATTGCGCAAGCAGTAGCTCGCTGCTCGGCGAATGCCGAATGGGCGGAGCCCCCTTAATACTTCTTGATTATACAAAAGGGAGTTCAGACAGCAAACATATTTTCCCTCGATTCAAACTCGGATCTTTATATTTATCACACCGGTAATGATACGCCTACGCCACGAGCCTCGGGGATAGCACAACAACCGACAGACGGACGGACCGACAGACGGACCGACCGACAGACGGACGGACGGACCGACCGACAGACGGACGGACGGACGGACCGACCGACAAGAAGAAGAAGAAGAATAGAAGAAAGAAAATTACAAGAAGAAGAAGAAAATAATAGACCAGAAGAAGGAAATAGCAAGAGAGCAAAGAGAGAACAGAAATAGCCCAAAAGAAAAAAAGAAGAAAGACACCCCTAATAGGAAGAGACAAAGACAACAAATAAAGAAATAGAAGAAGAAGAAAGTTTAGAAGAAGAGTTAAAGAAAAACAGAAGAAGAGAGAAGTAGAAGAGAAGAAGAAGAACGTAGAAGAAGAAGCAAAGAAGAAGAAGAAAGAAAAAGAAGGAAAAGGCAAGAAGGAGAAAGACAGCAGAAAAAGAAAGTAGAAGGGAAGAGATAAAAAAAGAAGAAGTAGCAATCTAGAAAAGAGAAAAGAAAAGAAGAAGAAGTAGAAAAAAGAAGAAGAGAAAAGTAGCAGAAGAAAAGAAAAGAAGTAAGAAGAAAGAGAAAGTGAAGAAGAAGAAGAAAGTAGAGCAGAAGAAGAAGTAGAAGAAGAAAGAAGAGAAGTTAGAAAGAAGAAAAAGAAGAAGTAGAAGGGAACGAAGAAGAGAAGACATAGTGTGAAGGAAGAGAAAAGAAGTAGACAAGAAGAGAAGAAAGGAAGAAGCTTAGAAGAACAAGTAGAAGAAAAAGCTCAAAGAAAAAAAAGAGAACAAAAGAACAGCAGGTAAAGAAAGCTAGAAGGAAAGAAGAAAAAGAAGAAGAAGAGAAGTAGAAGAAGCGAAGAAGAGAAAGAAGAGTAGAAGAAGAGTAGAAGAAGAAGAAGAAGAAGAAAGAAGTAGAAGAAGAAGAAGAAGAAGAGAAGGAAGAAGGAAGAAGGAAGAGTAAAGAAAAGAAAGAGTAGAAGAAAATAGCAAGAAGAAAATAGAGAGAACTAGAAGAAAGAAATAGAAAGAAAAAGAAAATAGAAGGAAGAAGAAATAGAAGAAGAAGAAATAGAAGAAATAGAGAGAAGAAGAAGTTAGAAGAAGAAGTAGAAAGAAGAAGAAGAAGAAAGAAGTAGTAAAAGAAGAGAGAAGAAGTAAAGCAGAAGAAGAAGAGAAGTAGAAGAAGAAAGAAGAAAGTAGAAGAAGAAGAAGAAGTAGAAGAAGAAGAAGAAGTAGAAGAAGAAGAAGAAGAAGAAGTAGAAGAAGAAGAAGAAGTAGAAGAAGAAGAAGAAGTCAAGAAGAAGAAGAAGTAGACAGAAGAAGAAGAAAGTAGAAGAAGAAGAAGAAGTAGAAGAAGAAGAAGAAGTAGAAGAAGAGAAGAAAGGTAGAAGAAAAGAACAGAAGAATGAAAGTAGAAGAAGAAGAAAGAAGAAGAAAGTAGAAGAAGAGAAGAAGAAGAAGAAGAAGAAGTAAGAAGAAGAGAAGAAGAAGTAGAAGAAGAAGTAGAAGAAGGAAGAGAAGAAGAAGTAGAAGGAAGAAGAAGAAAAGTAGAAAGAAGAAGAAGAAGAAGAAGTAGAAGAAGAAGAAGAAGTATAAGAAGAAATAGCAAGAAGAAATAGAAGAAATGCAGAAGAATAGAAGAAATAGAAGAAGATGCATACATCATCATTAATTTGTTTACCTCAGAAATGTTTCGGCTTT